TTTTTCGGCACCTAATTCCAGTCCTTAAATATTAGTCTCGATATTTGCCGAAGACTTTATTACTTTACACAGGAGCCTGTAAATTCAATGTCTGAATAATACCAAGCACGTCTCAGAACATTTACCTCGTCAATTCTTGTTAAATGCAGACCAGGCTCTATCTTGTATTGTTTCGCAATCAGCAGTTCGTTGTAACGCAACCGTTGTGACTCGCGCCAATTATTTGCATTGTACATTGCAGAGTCTGGAGAATTATAGATACGTTTATGTGGAAGATTTTAGCCATCTATGTGCAGCCAATGAATCTTGTGAAATATTTCAGTAACTGAACAACGTCTCACAAGAAATATGTTAACAATCTTAACATATTGATCGTGCCTGGAAATTGAGTGCCTCTTGTAACATGTTGTTATTTGGGGATAAATTATTATTATTATTCAGTCGTCTGTCGACCTCGTCAATCATTCGCTGATAAATCAACACATACTCTACTGATCAGTAAACCAGACATTGACATGTTCAGAGTACTACGCAAACCCAGTGCCAGCTGACGGCTTAGGGAATTTTCGGATTTCTAATGACTTGGTAATTCGGAAACGAAAATCCTTACGCCCAGGTAAGTCACTAGGTTGTGACGAAATTCGCCCCATAGTGTTGAAACAATATTCAGAAGTCCTCTGTTTACCGATATTTGACCTGTTAAGTTATTCACTGGAGTGACACCAATTCCCAGCTGAATAGAAACAAGCTACTCTCTCTCTCCAATCTTCAATGGAGGAGATAGGAACGACCTAGCTTGTAACAGATTATTTGCATTACTACCAATACTATCAAAGGTAATGAACGAACAAATGAGTGAGTACACCGATTAGCATAAAATTCTATATGAAGCTCGGTTTGATAATTACAGAAAGCAACTACCCAATCCCAAACTACATGTAGGACTGAGCTAAGGCAAATGTAACTCTTCACTGTATGCGAAGACAACTGGATGCCATTGCGCCATAATTATTCTTACCGTTATTAAGAACATCCGTGCCCACACCTGGAGCTTCACAACGTCGTTGCACCAACTCAGCACAAAAGAGACGTAAATCTCCTGAATCGAGTGCAGAGACGAGCAGCAAAATGGCTGATGGGGTTGAAAAAGAAAACCTTACGAATATAGACTCCAGCACTTGGGATTACTTCCACTGAGCTACAGGAGAATCAGAAGTGATCTGATTTTGTCATATAACATATTAAGCTCGTCAAATCATCCCGACATGAGCATCTTAACGATGCATCACCACCACTCCCCTCGAGCCAATCCTCGGATGATTGCACATCAAAGAACCAATACTAAGGTTCGTGCACACTTTTTCTTATTAAGAGTTGTTGCGGCTTGGAAGGTGATAACAGTCCCCTCAGTGGACAGCTTCAAGAAGAAATTTGATAAACACGTTCTCAAATATGGATAATCATCTCCGACTTGGAGCATCTGTGTCTGATGAATGTCTTAAGACTCGCTAGTTGGTATTTTTTATCTCCTCAGATCACTAACCTCATCTCTCTGGCTTATTATCTGTCCTTGCTCACCTTTCAGTCCTCTTTCACAATCTTCACAACCAATTAATGAACTAAATCATCAATTTATTTACTTAGTTCTGAAATCCTCTTCTTATTAGCATTAGAATTATATCCTTAATATTCTCAACATTGCAAATAACTGATCTCCAGTCTGTTAATGTGATAGTTCCTGGTATCCAGAAACCCTACTGCACTGAAACAAACGTTTTCATTCAAATACATACTCACAACCAACTGCCAACTGACTAGAATTGGACAGTCGAGTGGCTAGACCCCCATTCATTGGACGCTAGCAAACACCTTGAACTGTACTGGAAGAAAGGGAATCGAGCACAAACAAAGCAATTGGTTTATGCTTGCCGGTGAAAAAGATATTGGATTGGCTGTTTTTATTCGAGTAGGTTGTTAATTTGTTCATATATCAACTCTTCACATTAATCAATTCCACGAAGTTTCTCGTCAACCTGTGATCCTATGGGAATTAATAACTATTTACATAATGACACTGAATTATGACTATGAAGATATTATCTAATTCACACATGAAATCTTGGCACGGTGAAAATTGTATTGCCATAATGACACTCGCAACTCACTGGATTATTTTCTGTGATCCGATAAAGCGAACGATTTTTCTGCGTGAAGTTCGGCCCATTTTTTCTCATATCCCATTATTATTTTCCGGAAATCCTATGGCTCTGAGTGATTACTCAGTATCATTTCGGTGGCTATATGACTTGCACAACAAATATTTCTGATGTACTTAACAGCTGCTCGTACCTTAAAAATCCTACAACCTACTAAGTAGATAGCTGGTATGGCGACACGCGCATGCATACAAACCATCAGTGTAAGCAGTCGAGCGAACCTCTTGCACGCAAATAATAGCATGTTCCAACAACCCTAACGACGGAAGCGGTTTGCAAAGCTGTCATAAAAATCTCTGCAGTCATGCACTCACTGGTGGCAACTTATGTTCCATTCATGGGATTGGTACGCAAAAACCACTCCCCTATTTCTTTTCGTCGGTAATCTTGACTGAACCTTACTAACATATCCGCAGCCACTTGTTTAATCGATAAGCCTTTCCATAATGTTCATACAATTATCAAACTTCGTCTTATTTCACACATCTACAGCTCCACTTCGCTTTGCTGTAGAGCTTCGTATCATCATGTCTGTCTGTAAGAATGATTGCCTGAAATAAACCTATCCAACCGAATCTGTATTTAGCTTCTAATGACTGCCATCGCACAAACGGAGTTCGCCAAGATATGATATATGGAAGCTGAATGGATGATTTATTTCCAATGTTCGTAAATAACTGAGTCAGATCACGGGCCATAAATGTTGGAAGCCCAACTTCGAATTCAACGCAGTTACTCAAGTCGCACAAATATGACCAATAACTGAGAACTTAGGTATTTTGAAATAATAATAACCGTGCAGATTAGTTCAAATATTCATGATCTTACCAATTCAAAACAAAATGGTCTCGTAACATTCAGTTCTTTTAAAGGTTATTGATTGACATGTATATTATAACTCGAACAAAAATTACGAACTCAGTTGTAAAACTAAAATATTCATCAAGTTAATTAATTGATAGGAGAGGGTAGTGTGAGCAATACAGTTCGTTTGCTATTGAAGAATCACTTATTCTACTCTTCTAAAGTCAGTATTTACAGGTCTTCTAAATTTATGGATTATTCGAGCAAAACCTAGACCGTTTTAAATTATATGCGTGTTTTCTTTATTTTACTCAGTCAGTCGGTCCAGTCAGTTGCAACGTAGAACTTCGCACGTAAGTACATCAGTTCATGTCGCCATACCACATTAGCACAGAGATATAATTGTCAATTCAAATCCAATAGTAGAAAAGGTAGTAAAGGTATTAGAAGTAATCGGAGAGGTTAGGGTTAGAAGATACTATTCAAGAAGTATGATTCAGTGAGAAAAGTTTAGAAAGTCAAAACTAGAGGTGTTGAAGAATCCAGAAGATTAGGATTTGAGAGAACACAAAGCATAAATGCACCGGCGCCATTGTGAACACATGTCCCAACCACCTCAACTGATGAATTTTCATTACTTCATCTATTGGTCTGCCATTCTTACCTAGCACCCGATTCCTAATAACAGCGTTGCTCACTCAGGTGTCCCAGGATAAACGAGCAATGCTTCCAAAATACCTATGATCGAAAACCATTAACCTACGAATATCTTCTACTCTCACTGGCCATCTTTTACAGCCATAAAGTAAGACGGAGCGAACCACTGCACAATACACTCGTCCTTTAGTCAGCAAACGGATATCTCGCCTACGCCACAAGTGACGCAGGTTGGCAAAAGCCAATCGAGCCTTCTGTATCCGAGCTGAGATTTCGTCAGTCACCAGGCCATCAGCACTGATGAGACTCCCAAGATAAGTGAAGCGGTCTACACGTTCGACTACTTCACTCCCTATCACTAGTTCAGGTGCCGATGCAACCCAGTCTTGAAGCAACATTTTGCATTTCGAGGGAGAAAACCGCATTGCGAACATGCTTGCATTGTTGCTTAGGGTAGTCAGAAGACACTGCATTTTGTCAGCGTCTTCACCAAGTAGGACTATTTTACTCATCACATATCTGACTGGAAATTCTTAGTCATACTTCACTATCGGGAAGAACTTCAACGATATAGCAGCACCTCTATATAAAGTGCTAAGCAATGCGAAGTTTACATGGACAGAGACCGCTCAACAAACTTTCGACCGAATCAAAGAGCTGTTAGATGACCGCCAAATGACGCTGAGACTGCCGGAACCCGAGAAGCCATTTACAGTGACCACTGATGCGAGCGATCACGGTATAGATGCTGTCTTGAGGCTGTCTGACAGAGTGGTGGAGTATGCCAGCCGTGTCCTTACGCCGACAGAACAGAAGTATTCCACAGTAGAAAAAGAGTGTTTAGCGATTGTATGGGCGGAAGACAAATCGAGACCGTATCTACTGGGTCGGCGATTTCACATCGAGACGGATCATAAGCCCCTACAATCGTTGAAAACAGCAAAAGACCCTCGGGGGAAGTTGGCTCGATGGATGCTACGTCTGCAGGAGTATGATTTTAGCATCGGGCATGTGCCAGGGGAGGAAACTGTAATGGCAGATTATTTGTCAAGACCGGACACCGAAGCCGAACTTCCAGAGATAGCGTGCGCAGTTAACGGCCTAGAGAGAGATCCCCTAGAACTCGTCCGACATCAGATCGCTGGTCAGTAAATGAATGCTTTCTCATAGAGTCAATGAAGTTGATTTACAGTGGTGAATTCTATTCAATTCATCCGTAGTGCTGCGATTTGGTTGGTACATGATTGATCTTTACGCAATCCAGCCTTTTCATCGCGAAGTTAATATATGTGACAGGATTATAGAATGTTTCCCCAGTATGGACTAGCGTTGACTGGATACTATTAGAATATTCATCCAATGTCCTAAGAGTTTAATTCTATTGGCCAATTCCTATCAGTTGTCCTAACTTTCAATGTCATATACTTCGAATGGTAATTCCTATTGGTCATCTTAACTATCAATGTCACTTCAAAAGTTGTTTCCTATTGGTCACCCTAACTGTCAATGTCACAGACTTCAATGTTATTTCCTGTTCGACCTAACTGTATAAATACGCATTATCTGTAACGTTTCATGACCCGGATCCCTAGTCCGGGATCCTTATCCTCTTCTGGACTCGGACCTCGTACTTTCTGGATGTTTGTAGAATACAGGTTCCACTTCATATCAATACTTCTTCATTTACTCAATGAGAGTTGGGACGCTCAGATTAGAGTAGCATGTCGTGCAACCGGATCCTTGATCCTCGAACTCGTTTTTCTGACTCAGGTCAACTCGTAATAGTTCAAGCATATTAAATTGACATGTTTAACAAATACGAAAGAGCCAATCAGAGTACAGCAACGAAATCATGCTTTATTTCCAATCTATGTCTTACTAACAAAAATAAAAACTATTAACCCTATATGTTTATATGGTTGAATATATGAGTTACACTATGAGAATTGTAAATAGTGATAACAAGTGGCTGTAACATTCAGATATTAAATATGTCCTCTACCAAAATGAAAAGCATACATCTTTTTACTATGACTAAGAGAATTAAGTTTATGGTGGTGGTATGGTAATTCTCAACTACGACAGCAACAACCCAAGAACCCACAAGATCAACTGCATACAAACTTTGTTCAAGAGAGCGAAGACACACTGCAGCACATACGAAGCAATAAAAAACGAGCGAAAACACCTTGTGACTATCTTCGCAAAAGAACGGCTATCCACGCAACCGAAACCATCATCAGAAGCGAAATCAATCACAGAAACAAACAAACGCATCATCCTACCATAGATCAAAGACATATCGGAGCATACAGCACGACTACTGAAACCATTTGGAATGGGTGTGGCACACAAACCAACAGAATCACTTCAATCAATCTTACGTACACCAAAGGACAAAATGATAAAGGAAGGAAAACCAAATATCATCTACAAAATAAATTGCTCAAACTGTGAAAAACACTACATAGGACAAAGTGGATGACCTCTTTAGCTCCGTTCACGTGAACATCAATTAGTAGTCAAACGCCACGACAACGCTTCGCTTATATCAACACACACCGACAATATGGACATACATTCCATTGGGGGAGGACAAAGAACACTAGAGAATTTTTAGAAGATTGGCACTCAGGCCAATCAGCAATCAACAAACACATCGACATTGACTCAATTTATCAACCAATCAGAAAAATCATAGCTGACACAGGATCAAGAATCAGATCAAAACAAAGGTACAAACAACGACAGACTTAAGGTCAACAGCAACCAATCAAGATTGGGGTTAGCAGAACAAGCTACAGGTCAAACGTGCAGAAATTCGATTACTTAACTTCTATCTGAAGTTTGTGCTGATGATGTTGTTCAGAAGAACAATGAAAGCTCCACAACCAAAACAACCTGCTCAGAGAACGAAACACCACCGCAATCATCCACCTGAGCTACAAGTTTTCTCCACCAACTCAGAATTAAGTTTACTCAGTACTATATTATAAAAATTATACTATCGTAATTAAAAAGATTGTAATAAATGGTTTGCTTTCAGCTTTACACAAATTAGCATTATTATTATCAACTTCGCGATGAGAAGGCTGGATTGCGTACCAACCAAATCGCAGCACTACGGATGAATTGAATGGAATTCACCACTGTAAATCAACTTCATTGACTCTATGAGAAAGCATTTGATAGTGTGGACAGGGTGACACTAAAGAAGTTTCTTGGACAATATGGAGTTCCTAAGAAGATAGTCAACATCTTATGGAATTATTAATGATGGACTACAATCATGCATGAAGGACAGCTCACAGACTCGTTCCAAGTGAAGACCGCTGTCACACAAGGTTTTTTTACTCTCACACTTGCTCTTTAGCCTGAAGGTCAACTGGATTGTGAAAAACTCAAAAGATACTGATGTTCATTAACAGTTGTCTAGGATCCATTATCCAGACACCACTAGCAACAATCTACTGTGAGCGAAAGCAAACCAGATTCCTGCTGAGGAAGAGATTAGGAGAAAGCGGCGGAATCGGGTAGGACACCTTGTGGAACACACACGACTCTAGGTCAAGGAAGAAGAGGAAGACCACAAAACACATCAGGCAGAGAATTGAAGGCAGAAAGTGTTAGTGGGACATACATGGAATTAAAGCATGACTACGTTGCTTCGCGCTGATTGGCTAATTTCCTATCCAATTAGCGCCTAATCGATTCTTGGAGAACAGGGTAGAAAATTCTCGTACTGTTAGCTGCATGCTGATTGGCTAAATCTAATCCAGTCGATCACGTGAATTTCTATCCAGAAGCTTCTCATGTAAATGCTATAAATAAGACTAACGTTGTATCTATTTTTGCCTTCGCCTTCGCCATCACCCTTGGCTTCTTATTCCATTTAACCTTGCTATTTTGGAATATAATCTTTTCCTGTTCAACTGTGTTTTCGATTCTTGGGAACTTGTCCAGTGTATTGTGGTCAGAGAATACTAAGCAATAGGATTTAGCTGGGAATTATCTAAGCAAGCATTACAACAGAAAGAATGAAAAGAAATTGGTTGCAACAGGAAAGGAAAGCTGAGGACAGAGAGATTTAGTTGGAGAATGCTGGTCAGTGGCTTATGCTCCATTAGGGGTAGTAGACGTAAGTAAGTAAGTAAGTAACTAGGTATGCATAGATCAACATATTTGTTTATTAAATAAATTGAAATAATCATAGATTTACAAATAACAGTATTGTAATTCACGTTGTTAACAATCTGAAATATGAAGAAAATTTAACAAATAAAACGTTTTCTTAATCAGGTCACATTAAAATAACAAGAAATATATATATACATATTTATAAATGAATGCTCGTTTATTATTTACAAAGTAGACAAGCGGTACTTTCTAGAATTATAACCTGTAAACAAGGATGCCAGCTGTTTATGTTCTCACTGACTGCAACTTGGGTGAGTTTAACACAAAGCTTTCTACTCTCCTTACGACCAGATGTCGTAATTGAAGCACAGGATTTCATTGATAAAACAGTTAATTTAAGCTAAAGAAAAAAGGCGGTCGGATGAGTCTTAGCATACCCACTATAAGAGACTGGACAACGGTGGCTATGTGCTGAAACCTTGATCAGAAAACTGCTTACTCTTAGCAAGCGTTAACTTTAGGCATAAATATAAGACATCCATTTATGTACAGATCCCTAAAATTGGCCCTATATTGTTTTCGAATAGAAAAAATTGCCGCCAACCATCGCCAAACATTTTCAATTGAATATTAGCACTTATTCTGAAATGGTGGAGAAAATTTGTAGCTCAGATGGATGATTGTGGTGGAGTTTTGTTATCTGAGCTGAATGTTTTGATTGTGGAGCTTTCATCACTTTTCTGAACAATACCACCAGCACAAAATTCAGATAGAAGACAAAACTCCACCACTTATTTTGAAGCACATGTCTGGTCTCTGATCGTTCGTCCACCTGAAACCTTAGCTGATGCAGAAAAGCCTCAATGGAAAGAATACTTACACTTGACGTAATTATTGAGAAACCAGGAATACATTTTAGCGATAATTATAAAAGCAGTCAGTCAATCAGTAAAATAACGTTCACCACAAAGTAGGTTAGCTAGATAACCGAACAACTATAATAATAATAATAATGATATCTATTAAGTAACTTAAATCAAAAGGTGCAGAGACATAAGTGGGATTTTAATGGTGTGTTAAATTGAGAGATTCTCAAAAGGTAAACTCATTTTAAAAAGCCATTGGCACTATTACTGGTTAGGACATGTGTTACGAACGCCTAACCATCGACTGCTCCGTCGAACTATGTTTTTTAGTGTAGCAGTAGGTTGGAAGAAAGCTAGGAGCAGCCAAACCAAAGCATGGCACAAATCCGTGAAGTCACTGACAACTAGAATGAGTCATGTTGGTAAATGTAGATCACCTGGTTGGGGCCCACGAGATGATAATAATCGATGGTGTTAGAGATCCTAAGTGATATGGCTCGAAATCGGTTGCAATGGAGCAGCTGCATTCATTCTCTGTGTTCTTTCAAATTCTAAACTTATTAATTCCTCATTACCTTTATCTTTTTATTTTTAACTTTATTTCACAAAATTTTACGTCTTGAATAATATCTTTGAATCCTAATCTTCCCGATTATTGCTAATACTTCTACTATCTGTACTACTATGGGACTTGCGTTGACAATTATATCTGTGTGCTAATATGATATGGCGAACTGAACTGATGTACGTACGTACGTACGTGCGTACGAAGTTCTCAGTTGTAACTGGCTTACTGACTACAACTTTCTGTGAATTTGTTAAATATTATAGTGTGACAGTATTTGATCTATATAAATTACACTTCCCACTTGCTTATTCATTGGTCATAAAAATGAAAATAAATGGAAGACTAGAAAACATTGTCACTACTAATGTGGTGTGAGCTACTTATAAGTAGTATATGACGTGAGTGTCAACGTAATGTCTGGCAGCAGAAGATGGGGGAAGATCAAGAAAGGAAGAGTTCGAAAACAATGGAATTTGTATGAAACGCATGAACAGTGACAATGGATTGATGTTTTGCAACAGGAACAGTCCAGTTCGATATGATGAACTGATATTTTGCAAATTAACGATTTACGATATGGTTTTCCAATTTTACTGAGTAACTCTGTAATTTTCGTTAAATACAACTCGGTTGCCCCATATGTGTCCTCGTTCACTACACTAATACTCAAAAAATTAATTTTAAAACAAAATGAATCATATTTATGATCGTTTAAAACATCTATATTAAATAGACTAGCACTAGTTAGACAGATGACATAATAAACATGTGTGGGTAGTGTTTAAGAAGATAATTTAAATCCCATAATAGTAGAGGTAGTGAAAGTATTATCAGTAATCGGAGAGATTAAGGTTCGACAGTATTATTCAAGAAGTAGAATCTAGTAAAATAAACTTAAAAGGAGAAAGATAAAGATAATGAGGAACTCTGAATGTTATGATTTGAGAGAACAAAAAGGTCTCTAAGCTTCGATTACTATCATCTCGTGGACCCCGACCAGGTAGTCGACACCTACCGACATGACTCAGTCCACATGAGAGTGACTTCATGGATTTCTGCCATGGTTTAGTGTGTCAGTCAGTCAGATGCAACGTAGAACTTTGTAAGTAAGTACATCAGTTCATGTTGCCATACCACATTAGCACAGAGATATAATTGTCAATTTAAATGCAATAGTAAAAGAGGTAGTAAAGGTATCCGAAGTAATCGGAGAGGTCAGGATTAGAAGATGTTATTCAAGAAGTATGATTCAGTGAGAAAAGTTTAGAAAGTCAAAACTAGAAGGGTTAAAGAATCCAAAAGATTGGGATTTGAGAGAACACAAAGAATAAATGCACCGGCGCCATTGCGAACGTCATTCAGGGTCTCTAACCGTCGATTATTATCATCTCGTGGACCCCGACCAGGTAGTCGACAATTACCGACATGGCTTAGTCCACTTGTCAATGACTTCATGGATTGCTGCCATGTTTTTGGTCTGGCCGCCCCTAACTTTCTTCCAACCTACTCCTACATTATAAAACAAAGCTCGTCCAGGCAGTCGGTGTTTAGGCATACGCAGCACATATCCCAACCACCTTAACTGATGACTGCCCCTTAGCTTTCTTCCAATCTAATTCCTACATCGCAAAACATAGCTCAACGAGGTAGTCAGTGGTTAAGCATACGCAACAGCTATTAAATCCTATCAATCAAACAACAGATTCAAGAAAAGTAAACACATATGAATCAAATTAGACAAATGTGAAAAAAAATAATCATTAAACTAACTTATCCAAACTGTGTACTTCGTTCAATTTCTTCTTAAATACCATTTTAGGCTTGGTCAATTGTAATGGAGGCGCCATAACTACTTCATTGAATTTCACTTTATCTACATGAATAATTGATGAATATTAATGTCACAAAAACACAAACCTTGTAAATGTTCAAAACCGGTTAATTGTTTCTCCATTGCATGTAAACGTTTCTCTTTACGTTTCTCATTTAAACGTCTTAACAATAATAGCATTTGAGTTGATTTTATACTTACTTTATAGCTTTACGTTTCTTTTTACTTTTTTTCATTTCTGTCACAGGAATAAGTTCAGTCTGAATGAATGAAGTTTATTGAATTTATTTTTTTTTTTTATAGTATTACGTGTTGTTTCTTGGAGAATGCCACTTTATTCAATTCATCTTCAACTTCTTTATGCAGTCGTCCCAAATAATGCGCATCGGATTCATGTTTGCCTTGTTTCAAAACAGTAGGAACTGTGGTGTTATCTTTCTCCTTCTTGTTCTTTTTGGAACCTTCAATATCTCCAACAGCTGTGTTATATATAATGTGTATTCAAATTAAATAAAACACTGATTACCTGGATCAAATGGAGATTTCCATTTACCTTCTTTCATGAGTAACATTTGTTTAAAACTTGCTGGAACATAATCATCATCATCGTCATTATTAAAATCCGGTGGACGATTGTAAATTTCTAATGAAAAAGACAATAAATCGGATAGCACACAATAAGTAAGTGATTGTCAGTCAGTCAGTCAAATGCAACGTAGAACGTTGTACATAAGTACATCAGTTCATGTTGCCATACCACATCAGCACACAAAGATGCAATTGTCAATTCAAATCCAATAGTAGTAGAGGGAATAAAGGTATTAGAAGTAATCGGAGAGGTTAGGATTAGAAGATATCATTCAAGAAGTATGATTCAGTGAGAAAACTTTAGAAAGACAAAAGTAGAGATGTTGAAGAATCCATAAGATTACGATTTGAGATAACACAAAGAATAAATTCACCGGCGCCATTGCGAACGATTTTGAGCCATATCATTCAAGGTCTCTAACCATCGATTATTATCATCTCGCGGACTCCAACCAGGTAGTCGACAATTACCGACATGGCTCAGTCCACTAGTCAATGACTTCATGGATTTCTGCCATGTTTTGGTTTGGCCGCCCTTAGCTTTCTTCCAATCTATTCCTACACTACAAAACAAGGCTCGACGAGGCAGTCGGTGGTTAGGCATTCGTAACACATGTCCCAACCACCTCAACTGATGAAGTTTCAATACTTCATCTATTGGTCTGCCATTCTTACCTAGCACCCGATTCCTAATAACAGCGTTGATCACTCCGATGTCCCACGATATACGAGCAATGCTTCGAAGACACCTATGATCGAAAACCAGTAACCGACGAATATCTTCTACTCTCACTGGCCATGTTTCACAGCCATAAAGTAAGACGGAGCGAACCACTGCACAGTACACTCGTCCTTTAGTCAGCAAACGGATATCTCGCCTACGCCATAAGTGACGCAGGTTGGCAAGAGCCAATCGAGCCTTCTGTATCCATGCTGAGATTTCGTCAGTCACCAGGCCACCGGCACTGATGAGACTCCCAAGATAAGTGAAGCGGTCTACACGTTCGACTACTTCACTCCCTATCACTAGTTCAGGTGCCGATGCAACCCAGTCTTGTACAATTACAATGAAATATGAAGCCAAAAAAAATACATTGTAGAACATACTTAAATTTGAATTGTGCGCGCCGATGTTTTTCAATTTTTTATGCTTTTTCGTTTTTAATCGACGAGTATATTGAACAGGAGTTTTATTGTTTACACGTGATTGAACTACTTCTTGATATTTTTTACGACGACTAGAATGTTTTCGAACTTGAAGAGTTAGTTGAATAGGAAATGAAAAAAAAGATAATCCAATCAAGTGTAATCAAATAAAAGATTACCTTTATTTTTACTCATTTTTTTTGTTTTAGCTTTTCAGTTTATAAAAAACACACAAACATTTGATGATTGATTAATTATGGTGAAAAGTGGCTGTGAATTTCATTCTAAAAAGAAGATTAAGTAATTAGTTCGTGAATTCAAAATGTTCAAATTGATCAATAGTTAAACGTGAACATTGAACAAATGTGCATTGATCATACTTGTTATTACACTGTTAACTAATAATAAAGTTGGTATAAATTGAAAAAGCTGAAGAGTTGTTGAATGAAAGAATAAATAAAAACAGAACACCATTTTAAACAAAAAAGATTTTTCGGAAATATTTCAACATCAAACTGATGGGTAAATAGAGAATGAATATATCTATGCAACCGTTATCAATTTCAAGCCATGCTGTTCAAGGTCTTTAATTATGGATTACAATAGCAGCATGGACTTTGGTTAGATAGTCTACATGATCAAACGTGGTGAAGTTCAGCTTTAAAACTAACGCAACATCTGGTTATATTTAGTCCTTTTTGAGTTTACTCGTACATTAGACAAGGCACAACGCTCAAGTATATGATGGCTGTCTATTGGCTATATATGTTCTATACCATACTAATCACTAGAAGTTCATAGCTTCATCAGCTAACTTATTATCACTAAATGAAAAAACAGAGCTCACAGATCTGCCTACTTCTTTAAAGTTACAGATAACAGTCTCAGAACCCTAAAGGCTCTAAGACTAACAATTAACTAGTTTGATGGAAATATGCTCACTAAACCGTACACAAACTTAGTGAGATCTGAAGATGAAAACTGCGTTCAGGTTGTGTGATTCCAGAATTCCAAAGTTTATAATACACAGTAACTTTGTGGAATAAAATAATAACAACAACAGAACAACATAGTTTTACGAAACGTCATTCATACTTGAAAAATGTCATTACAATAGATAGAACTGCAGCGAAGAATAGTAATATTCCGACACATTTTCTTACCTAGATGTTAAGTCAAAAACTGGAAAGTCTTGGAATCCATTGTTTAATTAGAAACTAGATAAGTGACATTCCCAGTGGGTACGGGTAAACATGGAGCTTCCGAAGGTATGAACTGTGATTCTTTTCCGCTGTCACTTGATGTAAATGACTAATCAACTGCAGAAAAGTCATCTGTTCCAATCACTGCCAATGATATAATGATTAGGAGAATCATTCACTGTGTCAGATAGGATATTATTACAGAACGACCTAAATTCCTTGGCTCAATCGATGTACAGATGGTCATTCAAAGGTAATGCTGGCAAAAATGAGTAATGGATATAAATAAGTGCGACAATCTATGTGACCATACAACAAGTGAAATGGTGTTACCTAAAGTATTTAGTGGTTCAAAATCTGACTTCAATGCGAACGAATGATTAGTTATGCTAATGAAATACATCTTTCATTTTATTTCCACATATTACAATTAGGTTAACCTCATTTGTGTGACAGTGGAAATGAGAAGCCCAATATAGTTTGAGTTAAATAAATCTTATTCATACACGCTCATGTATGAAGACAAATATAAGAATGAGATTCGAAAAATCGAAATGGAGAGAAACAAAGTGGAGCAGTCGGGTGAGTGTTTAGAGTGTGACTAAGTACTTATAACCAGACAAAAATAAGCAAGATATGTGATACGCCAAATCAGTAAAGCATGCACAATTATAAACAGACAATGTCACAAGCGAATAATTAACAAGGTCAGACAAATGTAATGAATAGAGAAGAACAGAATAATCAATTTTTTGCCAAAAGTTAGAACAAAACGTGTAGGCTCAACATATCAGTACACGACATAATTACCACATGATGAAACCCTAGGAGCCATCATAAGTAACGACCTTAAAACTGCGAGTAACTGTAACGCTGTTCACACCAAAGGCTTAAGAATCTTGTGGGTTCAGTCAGGCTAAAGTTACAACTTTGTGCATACGTACATCAGTTCAAGTTGCGAACCCAAGAAAATTAATTAGAAAAGAGAAAAAATGGTTATGAGGAATTCAGATTGAGAGAAGACAAAGAATGGACGCACCAGCGTCATTGCTAACGATTTTGATCCACGTCATTCAAGGGCTCTAACCATTGATCACTTCTGCCATGTTTCGGTTTGGCCGCCCCTAGCTTTCTTCCAGCCTACACTAACCACAAAACATCGGTTGCCAAAGTAGTCAAAGGTCGGGCATACATAACACAGGTCCAAACCACCTCAACTGATAAGGTTTCATTACTTCATGTATTGATCTGCCATTTTTATCAAGTATCGCTTTCTTAACATCAGCATTGCTTACTCAATGGTCTCAGGAAATACGAGCACATACGGACACATACATGACCGGATACTAATACCCTACGGTAAGTTTTTACTCTTAGTGACCATGCTTCACACCCACACGTTAGGATGGAGCACACTGCTGCACAGTAAGCTCGTCTTTTGGTACGTAAATGGATATCCCGGTTACGTCAATAGTGATGCAAGCTGGCAAAAGCGAGCTGAGCCTTCTCTATCAGTGGTGTGTCTCATTGGTTATTCGTAAAACATTTGACTAGTTGGATGAAAAGTACCTAGAAAGTAAACCCTAAGTCTATGAGGCCACATTTCAAATAAAGGATTCAAGCGGCACGTCCTCATTTTAAGGATTGAGAGGATATCCTAAAACAAGTTAGACAAGGTACCAAACAGTGGAAGGCCTCATTATTTCCTATTAAAGCAGGCTCAGACAGCACATATTTCCGTTATCTTATTGCAGGTAAATGGATGACACTCTACTGCTTCACTGTAAGTTGAACGATGATTCTAAGATAAATATTTTGTACTTATGAGTGATCATTAAAGTGAGTATTCTAAGAAAGTTAAATAACCGAGATCGAGTTTTTAACGACTGCAATTCCGTTTCTCCAATAAAAAGGTGGATCATTGGGACCTCTCAACAGAACACGTAATATCAGCATTTTCTGTTAAGAAATTCGAGACCATATTGGATTTTTACAGCCCTATAGATTAAAATTCATCCCCATTACTGAAGACAAGGAAATGCTGGGAGTTAGATCTATTTACCCTAGCAGATAAGTACAAACGAGAGGACGTTGGTCTTTTATTTGACTAAGGCTACTTCACGAACTAAGTAGCTTCTATAAGCTACAACTAAGAACCAAGTTTCTGCCATCTATTTGACTTTTCCAGAAGGACATAACAGCTGATCTTTCAGCCTCCTATGCTGGATATGATGTAAAGACAGCTTAACGTGAATATCGACATTTAAAACAGATCTTGTTGTGAACTCTGAATTACAACGCGTAGGACTAAACACAAAAATGTCTCCTAATCACATAAATTACCAAACTCATTAGAAAGCTGCAAAACATGCCTTTTTGTGGCGTTACTTTTGACTAGCGCGCAATCTGTATACAGTATCCAATATCTATTACACGAGCTAGTAAAGACCGATTGATTTCTTTGCACCTAAATCTTATCCTTTCGGTACGGCTCCAGTCCAATAAATGGGGACTTAGCCGCTGAACTGTTTAATTCCAGTCAATTGGCAGTTGGTTCTGAGTATGTATGAATGATTACTTTTGTTCCAGTGCAGTAGGGTTTCTGGATACCAGCAGCTATCATGTTACCAGGCTGGAGATCAGCCAGATGCAATGTGGAGACTAATGAGAAGAAAATTATCATGCTAATAAGAAGAGAATTTCAGAACTAGACAGCGTGTGTTCTGTGATAGAAAAATTACCCATTACTGTTATGTAACTTATACCAACATCATTTCTCTTACTTGTATGATAGGAGGAAGTAATCATCATTGGTTCGGTGCTCGTGGTTCATTGAGGTCATTTTTTGAATTGGAAAACCTAGTGGGGGGTTGTAAAGACACATTATTCCGTTTGCAGCCACATGAGGACTTTAATTTGTGGAATAAACCTACGATGTAATGACTTCGGTGACGCCTGAATTCCAGTCTACCGAGGAAGCACGTTCACAATTCGAGCTGTTTTGAAGAAAACAAGGACAGCCTGAATTTATTTTGGAAGTCTGAAAAGAAAATTATTTCGGAATGTTCATCAACAAATTCCCCATCCATAACACAATGCTAAACTGTGTATATTTTCCGAATTATCTGGAAGTTTGTTAAGTTGTCAGTGACAAAACTCGAATCAAATCAAACCATATGTCACCAAATAAAAAAGATCGGATGCACATTTGTGATTTGATATGTGGTCTAAGCCTAATAATAACTGTTGTCAGTGATGCGTAGCATGCCCTAACCAATGATCATGTGGTGCTTATTCTTGAACAAGCGTCGTCATTTTGGATGTATCCAGCAAAATTAATTAGCTCAACATCAATGTTTAATACCGAACGGCTACTCATTCTGAAGATCTATCTACCGTTAAAGGCACACTTTTGCTCAAATTCGTCGTATCGTTTGAAAACATCTTTATCATACACATAAAGTGTGACGTAACCCCACACTTGCTCTAACAGTTTCACGGAACTTAGCACGTGGGTTGGCCACGCCAAGTGCATGCACTTCACAATAATAATTCCAGGCTTTAACATAATTGGGCTAAAATTGAACAAGTTATGAGTTGAAAGCCGCAAGAGTCCTAATACATCTAAACCTTTGATTACGTTTTGTTATCATGAGAAGAGAAATATGTATTGAAAGGAACTCCACCACAAGAAACCAGAATAAAGAACTGCATACCTAAAAGGTCGAGCAAAGAACATTCTGAATAATAACCTAGCTGCAGAACAAAGTGACATTCAGAGAGAAGTATTAGGATGTCGGAAATTTAAGGAGACCAACACAAATGGATATCTTGTCCAATTTGATTTTTGTTTGTTTGTGCTATAGTGATGTTTTTGCTAGTAGAGATAAATATACTTAGTAGTTACCGTGATTACACTTGATCATTAGTGTACATAGTATGTGACAGTTTCGCAGTGGCATAAGGACTTTACTGAATCGTCAAATGACATCAGCCGAATGACTGAGTAATCTGAGTGAACATGGGAAATGCGATATTCTGAGAAAACGTCATATCTATGAATCGTGTAGTGGGACGTTGAGCAATTCCATTATCAATAGGGTACATTCAAACTGGTCACTCCAACGCCAACTGAACTGTTCATTAATTTTTTAAATCGTTTATTCATGCAATGAGTGTTCATTTGGAACTAACCATAAACAAAGGATCCCGAGTTATCAACTCTCCATGTTCTTAAAACTATTACTCATGTTTCAGAACCGAGCGATCATATGTGATCATTTGGTTTATATTAGCTCGTGAGAAAGTTGACTTACTAGATGTAGGATTGAAACATGTCACACCTCTAGGTATAACGAGCGTAAATTTTGAAGGCTACATAGGAGGAAGTGAAACAGATAGTTGACCTTAAGAACGGTTAAGGCGGACGCTAATAAACAGGCGGAAGGTTAAAGTCTCCTAATGCAAAAAACTTATGTTTACGTTTTTAACAATATAACTACAGTTAAGGAAATTCATCAGTTCCACATTGAAAATAATTGGGTGTCCGTCATGCGAAAGATCTAAGCAATTTCGAAGGATATGTATATTGAGTACGTTCTAGAAATTCGAAGTCACCACACTTCTCCTAATAAGCACCAGAAAATTTAGGGGAAAGGCATCTTTTAGTGTTCAACCAGTTGCACAATGTTCGGTGCATATCAATGATCATTATTCCCAAAACAAAACATGGCAGAAATCCATGAAGTCATTGACGAGTGGACTTAACCATGTCGGTAATTGTCGACTACCTGGTTGGGGTCCGCGAGATAATAATAATCGATGGTTAGAGACCTTGAATGACATGGCTCAAAATCGTTCGCAATGGCGCCGGTGCATTTATTCTTTGTGTTCTCTCAAATGCTAATCTTCTGGATTCTTCAAAACCTCTAGTTTCGACTCTCTAAACTTTACTCACTGAATCATACTTCTTGAATAGTATCTTCTAATCCTAACCTCTCCGGTTACTTCTAATTCCCTTACTACCTCTTCTACTATTGGATTTGAATTGACGATTACTTCTCTGTGCTGATGTGGTATGGCAACATGAACTGATGTACTTATGTACAAAGTTCTACGTTGCATCTGACTGACTGACTGAATGATCATTATTCTAAATATCCCACTTTGTAAGCAGAATTCAGGTGTAGGGCACTTCATAGCTAATGAAATTTCACATGCATTCATTTATTGAAAGAACGGCTCATGTCTTACTGACAACAATACTAATCACTCACATGAATGATTTATTCATCTGCAATGTTTTTAATATCATACTTTTATCAATATTTAGCTACAGCGAATCGCTGTACATAGGCATCTAAATTCTATTTTTAGTAACTCATGTTTCGCTCTGAATCTTTTTAACCAAATTTTCTCTTTACAGTATGTATTAAAAATATATTGGAAATTAAAACTTTGCTATCAGTAATTGCTGAAATATGATATTTGTCTAAATCAACTCTTAATGTAATTGCACATAACAGGCGAATTTCACTTAAATCACAACCGAAAAGCAGGAACTCATTTGTAATAGTTGTTTAAATCATTCCATCACTGATCTCGTAGAAAGAGACAAATATCACCGCTTCACTTGATTACTGATGGAATAATATCACGAAAAATCTGCAGTTAACAATGTAGGCCATCAGACGCTGACACATTTATGAGAAAATAAACGGAGCTCGATTGTGAATAAAGGTTGTTAGATCGAACTCTGTAGGAGAACTATTGACTGGTCTCACAATAGGGTAGATCCTACTATAGTAAGTTAGTTATAAAAACTTTTCTCTTTAGTAATTTCTATTAGTCCGTACACTAGAATTTCTCTATGACTTTCATCTGACACACACATGCAATGAACATAAATATAGGGGAAATCAATGATATCATAGATTACAAAGTCACTTCAATTATAACAAAGTAAAGAATAAATTACATGTATTTCTTTTCTTTCGAGAAAAAGTTACTTAATAATACTAATCTATAACATTCAGTAGAAAGTTAAAATCACATAATCAAGGTTGATTTTATCACGATTTGACAAGAAAATTCCACTAACCGTTTTTTGTCTATAGTGTAAAGGGAGAGTAGATCAAGATTTTTAGGACGAAATGAATTTGTATGGTTGCATTGATTTGTACAATAGAAAACTGTAATCAAGTTATGATGACACAAGATCGGAATTTCTTAAAAGCTTATTAAAATCATGTCTAAGTTGAGGAAAAGTACCTTGTCAGCCGTACACAATCACCTGACTTCAGAATATAGTAAACAAGCGGTTGACTTATTTAAACCAGTAATAATATTCAAAGTGACTATTCAAAATCGTTCAGAATTATGGACTATACTAATATTATATACGTTACTATTTACTGCTTAAACTATCTGCCCATGTATACAAATGCCATGATGTGATAGGCTATGTAGTTTAACAATGAGACTAGCGGTGCGTGGGTCCAGTTGGTGACTGAACGGATTTAGGGCAGAGGGAAGAAAACTATTCCGTCGCCTAATAGGCTGGCAAGTGAAGACGGGATTACTGCACAGTAGTTCGTTCCGTCCAACTTTACGGCTTTGAAACATCCCCCTTAGGAATATAGGATATTCGTAGGTTACTAGTATTCGATCATCGGTGTCTTCAAAGCATTGCTCGTATATCCTGTGCAATCGAGTTATCAATACAGTGGTTAGGAAGCGAGTTCTAGGTAAGCATGGCAGATCAATAGATGAAGTAGTAAAACTTCATCCCTCAAGATGGTTTGGATATGCGCTGCATATGCTTAACAACAGACTACCTCGAAGAACTATGTTTTGTAGTGTAGGAGTAGGTTGGAAGAAAGCTAGGGGCGGCCAGACTAAAACATGTTACAAATCCATGAAGTGATTGACAAGTGAATTGAGCCATGTTGGTAGGGTCAGACTACTGCGTTGAGGTCCGCGAGATGATAGTAACCGATAGTTAAAGACCTTAAATGACGTGGCTCAAAATCGTTTACAGTGGCGCAGGTTCATCCACTCTTTGTCTTCTCTCAAATTCTAGTCTTCTGCATTCCCCATCACTTTTGTGTTTCTCTTTCTAAACTGATCTCACTGAATTATACTTTCTGAATAATATCTTCAAAGCCTAATCTCCGATTACTGCTAGTACTTCTACTACCTCTACTACTATGGGATTCGAATCGACAACTGCGTCTCAGTATTAATGTAATATGGCGAATTCAGCTAATGTACGTGCGTATGTACTGACTGACTGACTGCCACATTAGTGTAGAAAGTAGAATAATTAGACATCCTAATTATAGAGGACGAGTACTCAGATTATTATTTCGATTTATCTGCACTAGATGAACGATATACAGTCTTAGAGGCT